CCCTGGACGGAAACTCTCTCTCCCAGGAAAACAGGGAGCAGGCGCCTGCAGGGCCATCACCCCTGCTGCGTGCCCTACCCCTCCACTCATCCATGCTCTGTTACCTTCCTTGCACTAGTGTTGGTCTGGCATTGGGTGGCCATGTGTTAAGTAAAGAGCAAACAAAGGACCCACTTACAGAATGAGAGGGACCCCCTTCTCAGAGCCCAAGGGCTCTACCCAGACCCCACCTCTCCGTGTCATGCAGCCATTCCAGACCTGGGCCCTGAGCTCATCCACAACGCCAGCAGCATCAATGGTGTCTAGAGGTCAGGTGCTCCTTGCACTGGGGGACTGGTCTCTACCTGTCCACACGGGGCCCAGGATACAGGTGCTCTTCTTCCTGGCTGCCCTGCACATAAGTGACAGGGCCCTGTGTCTGTGGACAGCAGGGAGTGCAACTGGCACCAGCCTGTACCCATAAAGCCTTGCCCATGTCCAGCCTGGTGTCGCTAGATCTTGTACCTTCCTTTCCTACCAAAGTACCTGTTTTTAGGGAGGGAGTACAAAAGTAATCAAATAGCACGTTCCAGAATTATGCCTAAACCTGTAAGAGGCAAGCAGGCTCTCCAAGCACGCTACTCTTCTTATGTAAATTAGACCCTGTGTTCGCTTGCTCTGCTCTGAAATTACAGGGTGGCATGTCACTCTCAATCTTCAGAGGTGGGGGGGGGCTCCTTCCTCCCTCTTCCTATTGTCTGAAGCCTCCCGAGGACAATGAGAGCTGCTGACTGACTCAGGCAAAGCTAATCAATGAGCTTTCTCAGGTTTCAAGGGTCACTGGCTGATGGCCAGGGGCAATCCCTCCCCAGGGGCCCTGAGTAACCTGATGGCTACTCCTGTCTGCAGGCCATAGGGACAAGGGTGTGGACCCTGCAGTTTGAAGGACAGATGTGTCCTCAGGGATGCAATCCCAGCATGTCCTAGCCCCACCCTGGGCTGCTGCAGCTCAGGGGTACCCAAGCAGGAAAGCCGTCTGGCTTTGACTCACACATGGTTTACCCTACATGGGATGGCAGCTACCTTGGGCTACTTGAGACTGAACACCGAAAGGCTGAGAATTATGCCACTGTGACCCACTATCCCACTATGACTTCTGTACAGCAGTGACCAACACACAAGCCACCACTGGCCCTGATGGGCTGGCTTGGCCATTTGGTGGGGCCTTGGCCATAGTAGGACAACAGAGTGGGGTAGCCTCACTCAAGCCACTGGGAACCAGGTTTCTGTGCCAGGGATGGAAGGGTTCCTGATGACCACAGGTGACTCCCAGCTCAGTCAGCATTTGCCAGCAAGTGTGAGGGCCTAGCAGGTTGGGGTGGTGTGCAGTGTTGGCAATTTCAAAGCCACAGTGATCGATCACACACTCATCTCTCTGACTGAAATTTCGCCCTCCTTGGCATCTTAGCTGTGGTGTCAAGTCTTTGCCAAGAGGAAGGGAGGATTATGAACTATGACCCAGTGTGGCAGCCAGCTGGGCTGGGTCAGGCAAGGACAGCCCATGTGGCTCTGTAGGCCTTCTCTCTAGGGCTTTGCTCCTGTAACTGTAGAAAAGTGGGGGACCCAGTGATGACAACTGGGGGGGGGCTGGCAGCACTAGGTAAGGGGTTTGTCAGGGAAGCTGTGAGCCAGTGGCTGTGTTAGGGTTTGGAACAGCAGGCCCTCCAGGTATTCTTGGTGGTGTGGCAGTGGGCCAGGAAGCCAGGCCAGCCAAGGCTGGGGCCCCATGACAGGTCTGATCTACATTCTGTGAGAACAGAGATAATGTGGGACCAAAGTAAGGGAGGTCTTGGACTTGAGGACCATCTGAATTGGAGGTCTCTTAGCACTGATAGAACCCCAGATTGGGTTTTGTTGATGACGTTTGAGTCCTGAAGACTTAAGAGTCCAGATCATAGGGATCCCTTCCTCCTGCGCCCCAACAGGGGTTCAACATTCACAGGCAGGATCCTAACCCAGAGTGCCAGCTAGTGACCTTCATCCTACCTATCAGGGCTTGTGGGCCTGAGCTTCTCAAGTATGCCCTGCCCAGCCATGATGCTGGCAGGCTCTTAAGTACAAACCAGACACCGTCTGAAATCCAAGCACTCCTGGTTTGCAGAGACAGACTCGGCTAATAGAAAGGATGGCTGTCTTGGAATACCAGAAGGTAGGCTCCCGGGGTCACCCTTGAAACTGGTACTCAAAAGGCAGGAGGATGGGAGGGACCTTTGACTGCCAGAGGTGCTGAGGACACAGGAGGGGCAGATCCTAATGGAGGTACCCGCATTCTTTCCTAGGGTCAACTCTTTCCTAGGTCAAACTCAGGGAGATTAAGGGGTCTTCAGGGAACAGAATTGAAAAGCCCAATATCTTTAGATCAGCATCCTAGAAAGCATTTGGGTGGTAAAAGTGGCCAGGTTGGAGAAGACAAGAGACCTTGGGGCTCTGAGAACATTGCTGTGTGTCGGGGGATGGGGAGCTGGCGGAGGCTGGGGTTTGCCTGTGAATGACAGTTGTATCTTTAACCTGTGGTCATAGCAGAACCCCAGGGTGCCCTAACCCCATCACCGTCCCAAGAGAGAAGCAGGTGTTCCAAGCATTCACTGTCAAAAATCTCTCTCAGGAGAGGCTGGGGCTATAGTTTCAGATGAAATACTTGCCTAGTGTGCACAAAATTCTGGTTTCCGTCCCCAGCACCACATAAACCAGCCGTAGTAGCACTGGCCTGTGGTCTCAGCACTCAGCAGGGGGAGGGAAGAGGATCAGAAGTTCAAGAAATTATTCTCAGTTACATAGAGAGTTCAAGGCCAGACTGGGTTATATGAGATCATGCCTCAAAAATAAATAATTAAAAAATCTCTCTCTGGGGTTCCCATATTCTACAAACAGGAGCCCAGCTGATCTGAGCAACAGGGCTCCCAGGAGAACGACCTTGATCTCAGTGGTAGAAGGAGGGGGCTGTGAACTACCTGCAGACCAGAGCCCTCAGACACTGGGGGAAACAGAGCAGGCAAAGTAGGAGAGGTGCCACTGGTTGGAAGCATTTACCTGAGGCGTGATCATTTCAAACACGCTCACTGATTCAGCGGCTCAAGGGCTCACTGTAATCCTAGGCTGTGGACAGTACAGACACCTTGGGGCCTCATAGTGGGCAGTGAGAGAGGATGAGCTGGCTACCCTCCATCTTCTCTGGAGGACCCTTTGGTTGAGGGGAGAGAAGTGTCCATGCCACCCTCGGCAGGGTTTCCATGGCACCAGACAGCGGGAGAATCCCAGGTCTTCAGGTCCACCAGCATGTGTGACTCTGGGCTCAGCTGTCGGCCCCATATCCACTCTGGGAGGAAACACTGGATGGGCGGGAGTTGCCACACTGGCCAGATCTTGGTTGTATTTTAAGTCAGCTTCAGCTCTTGTGCAAATGAGTGTCTTGATTCACAGGCCCTAACTCAGAGCAGCACAGGACGTACCTCCTGCTAGAAGTGGCTCCTGTCCCAGCAACGCCTTTCAAGGGGCATCAAAGGCTTGTCAGCTTGCCAACACCTCGCCAGCCTCCAGTGTTCCTGGCTCACCCCACACCCACTGCGTCACCGACGAGCCATCCCACTGCAGAGCTCCAGCAGGCAGTCGCTGCTCTGGTGGGCCACGGGCCTCCCTCCCTCCTTAGTACAATGTCTTGGGGCTTCATTGCTGGGTCTGTCTGCCGAGGCCCTGCTCTGGGAGTTTCACACAAGCCCCGTGCTGAGGCAGAGCCTCAGTACCCTCCTCGGTTCCTGTCTCTGACAAGGCTCCGGGCTCAGAGACCTGGCTGGCAATTTGTGGGCGCCCCTCACCTGCCCTTTGAAGCTCCCCCCTGGCCATCTCAGAGGTGGCGTTCTCCTACCCACACACTGCCCTGGTACTTAACTGCCTTCTAGTCTCTCAAGAGTTGTCAGGACACCCTGCTCCAATTAGGCCCAGTGAGGATCCACACCTCATGGGTTCTACTTGCTAAATACCTGGCACATGGGTACTGGCTGCTCTGCAAGAGATGTAACATGCCTTCCATGGCTCATAGGTGCTGGGGGTGTTGGGAAGGGGTTTATCTCTCCTGCAGCCTGTATTCCAGTGGGGTGTGTGGAACTGGCTGCCATGTTCTCTTGAGTCAGCAAAGGGATGCTCTTCACATCCCACAGTGTGACAAGCAGACCTCTGATTTGTCAGACAAAAATCCAGTCTTGATGGGCTGGAGGGAAGGCTCAGCGGTTAAGAGCACTTGCTGCTTTTCCAGAGGACCTGAATTTGGTTTCCTGTATCACATCAGATGGCTCATAACTGTCTGTGACTTCAACGTTAGGGAATCCAACACTTTCCTCTGGCCTCCATGGGAGCCCATGGCAGACACATAAACATAGTAAAACAAATCTTTAAAACTCTCCTTAACTTTGGAGCGCTATTGATGAATGAATTCCTGTGCCTCAGTTTCTCTGAGTGACGAGGTTAGACTATAGCACCTGATTTGTGTGCCCACAGCACAGCGTGGCACTGGAGGCTGAGAAACATGAATCTCCCTGCTGCCCATCTCACATGGAGCTTCTCCATGCAAGTCCATGGTCAGCTGCTGTCACCCTTGAGGCACACAGAACTGTTCCCCTGCCACTACAATCAGTCCTTCCTGGGCTCTACCTGGTGTTGGGATGCAGAGTTTTCAGTAACAGGGTTGCAGAAGGCAGACTGCTCCCCTTGGGCCTTATCGAGTGGGCCATCAGCCATAGCAACATGGGTAGGGGTGGCTCTTGGTTGCCCTGTCTCTGAAGATAGGCTCTCTCTGGGCTTATGCTCTACCTTCCTAGACACTCTAGGGCTCTCTCTGGTCATCCTCACAGATCCCTCACACCATGGTGTCTTGTGTATGGCAGGCCTAGGAGAAGCTGAAGCAGGTGTCTCACAGGGGCGCATGCCAGGGCTTAGCCACAGCAGTTCCCACCAAATGCAGTTCTTACCTGGTGCTTTCTGGTGGCTCCTGTGAAGTGGCTGCTCCCTCTGGGGGACTCTGGCTACCTTTGGGCCTCCTGTACGCCTTCTAGGGGTGGGGCAGGGGAAAGAAGAGGCTCAGAGGAGCCTGGAAGAGGCAGAGAGAAGTCCCCTATGGCTCAGGGCCTACCTCAAGCATGCTGGGCAGGAACAGGAAAGGCTGCATCCCAGGTGGAGGGGGCCCGAGGAGGATGTCCACAAACTCAGCACATCCATGCTCCACTCGTTGACAGGCTTCAGGACAGCGAGGCTCATGTCTTTCAGCTAAGCAGAAGGTTTGCCCCGAAAAACAAAGCAAACAGAAGTCCTGTGAGCCCTGAGCAGAGGAAAGCCTTCCCCAACACCCAGAGGCTGTCCTGCCACTAGCTGAGTGGGTAAGGGCAGGACGTGGAGCCTGGCCAGGGATGAACCTTTGTCTTGGGCACTTCCTGTGGGCCAGCCCAAGACAGAGGAGTGTAGACAGGGCAGTGTAGACAAAGGTTATGGACATGGAAAAGTAGATAGTTGGGTATAGACCAGGCAGAGTGGGTAGGACAGTGTAGACAGAACAGTGTGCACAAGGGTGTGGAAACAGGAGTGGAGACTAGGGGTGTAGACAGAGCAGTGTGGAGAGGACAGAGTGGACACAATGGTGTGGACAGGGCAACGTGGACAAACGAGTGTAGACCAGGCAGTGTGGACAGGGCAGTATGAACAGGCCTGTGTGCTCAGTACAGGTGGCGTGGTAGTAGGTGGATTCTGGGGCTTGTCTGGGGCTGGCTCAGAATCAATAGGCCCTGCCTATGACCAGGTGGGCTGCCCCTTTTAATCTGGCCAGCAGAAGCACTTGGCTCTCCAGAGGCCCAAGCCACACAGACCACTTTTTGATATCCTCTCAGAAACTTTCCCCATCAGGCCCCAACCTCAGCAGGCCTGGGCGAAGGAGCCTTTGAAAACTGCACCCCCTCAGCCGGCAACAGCCCCGAGAGGCTCTGAGGATGATGGAACATGGGTCCCTCGAGCAGACTCCTGCCCACCCTGGCTCTTGCTCCTTCTTCTCTCATGGTCCCAAGCTGTGGGGAGCATAGGGATGTCTCCCTCTGTCTCCACCGCACCCACAGGTAGAGCTGCAGTCACAACACTCACCGTCCTGTCTCTTCTACAGTTAACAGTTCAGCCCGAAGGGTGATAGTTTCAATGCTAGGTTGGTACAAGGTCCCTGGTTGCTCCCAAACACACTTGCACATCAGAGCCCACTTTCCTTGAGACCAAGCGTCAGGGCTCTCCTCATGGCGTCTATCCTAAAGTTCCCATCATCAGGGAGGAGGCACAAGTGAGAACCTCCACTCAGGGAGTTCTGAAGGGAGAGGCTCTGGCTGGGGCAGCGGCTTCAGACTTGAGGTGCACACTGGCCTGTCTACACTGTCCTATCTACTCTGCTTGGTCTGTACCCTTCAAACTACACTGCCCTGTCTACACTCCTCTGTCTTGGGCTGACCCACAGGGCATGCCTAGGACGAAGGTTCATCCCCTGGCCAGGCCATTCCAGGTAGTGGGGTTGGTTCACAGAGCAGTGAAGGAGATGGAGGGGCAGAGCAGAGGGTAGTGCCTGGGAAGGAAGAGCCAGGGTCTAGTGTGGAGTCCAGGAAGAGGGGATACATTCTGTGTCAGCATCACTAGGAAGAGGAATGTTCCAGGACAGCATCTCTTCAGGGGTAAGGAGGTTTGCAGGTGCCCACACTCAGTCCTTGGGGCCAGCCCCTCAGAGGAACGAAACTGGAATGAGTGGTGGTGGTGGTGGGGTGTCTTTCAACTGTGTGCTGGACAGGGCCCTGGGGCCAGAGGCATTAATGTCCTTTCCCCAGAAGCCCCCTTCTACAGGATCTGGGCCTCTGAAGTATTTCCAAATTATAGGTGGAATAATTATTTCTCTCAGAGGTGTCTTAATTTTGTCTTACGGTGCATTAATAAAAGTCGTTTCCTATGCAAGGACATTCCTTCGCTAATGTCCTCTCCTGCAGCTCTGCTGCTCCTGACTGCCTGTGTCCTGGGCAATGACTGGGAACTGCTCTGCTGACAGCATGGTTTCCAGCCTCTGCACCTTGGTGGTTTCCACTCGGACTGTGGGGACCAGCTCTGCTGTCTCCTTTACGAACAACTTTTGACAGTAAGATGCCCACTGTGCCTTCATATCCAAGTGGCTTGCCCCAGGCATGGTGGCAGCTGAGTGGCCCGATTGGGAGCTCTAGGGACACTAGGCCCAGACCATAGCAGCACTTACAGCTGTAAGTTGCCATTTCCATGCACTGTTTCCAGGAAATGGGGGTGGAAAGGAAGAAAGCGTGTTAAAAAAACAAAAACAAAAACCCAGTTGTTAAAGGGCTGCTTCTGTGAAATCACCACAGTTGGCATCTACCAAGCACTTGCTTGGTGTCACACATCTGTGGTCGGGCCTGATGAGGTCATGCAGAAAAGGCTGTCACTGCTGTCATGAGGCTGCCGAGAAACAGCCTTAGACAAGACTAGTGGGAGCCACGGTGACAGCAGGTGGTCCCACATCACTGGTGTTAACCATGCTGCTTGGTGGGAAGATGACACAGAGTGCTGGGGACCTGGACGCCTGGCTTTGTGACCACATCTTGATGTGTAGCAGACATCTCCCCCATGAATGAGGCTGTCTGATTGGCCACAACTCTTGTCATTTTCCTCACTCCCTTTTACCTCCTTGGTCCCCATGACACAGCCGACTGCTCTCTCAGCAGGCCTTTGCTCTGCAGGGATGGTGTTTAGATGGGCCACCCAAGGTCCCCAGCTACCCCTCCTGCTGTAGCAGCCCTGTATATATGCATCAGAGCTCTGTGGAGGGGAAGGGAAGCTCATGGTGTGGGTGTCGGGGGGGTGCAGGGCAAGAGGCTCCCACAAACATTTAGCTCCCCTAGAAGAGGGGACACCCAGAAGGCTCGCTGGCTGGAGGACTGCTGAGTCTGCTCTCACTAGGAGCATGAAGTGAAGTCCGTGCGCAGTGCCACCCACATAGGAACAGATCTGCCTCTCCCAAGGCTTCTTCACAGTGTTGGAGAGCTGGACTTCATGAGAACGTGGCATTGTCAGCTCTCAGTCTCGGGGAAACTGCTGCTGCCCTCTCTGCAGCATCTCTGACTCTTACCCTGCCCTGGCCTGCTGACAGCAATCCTGGCGTAGGTGGGTCTCTGCTCCTCTGCCTACACCCCCTCTTTGACTGGCCATCTTACTTTTCATGGAGGTAAGTGCCACATTTATCCAGATGAACCTCAGACTCCTCACTCTTGGGATCAGAGTGGGCAGCCAGCTTCCTGTCACGCCTGAATGCTGCATAGGATGTCCACATACTACAATCACAGGACCTTGGGCACAAACCAACTCTCTTCCTTTCCCTTCACACATGCCCTTTTTCCAACCAGATGCCCCCAACCATCTCCCCATCCTCCTCCTCTGGGCTGCTCAATAGCCACTTCCTTGGGTCTATGCCACCACTGCCCAGGGTAGGATGACTGTGATGGTACCACCTGGGCTCTCTGCTCCCATTATGCCCTGTAATTTATCTCTCACCCCAGCACACAACTGGCTCAGACCATGGGTAGGATGCTGGGATAGCTCCCTGAAGCTCCCAAGGGCTTTGTCTGCCTTGTGGGCACAAGAGAAACCTCTGGGCAGAGGACATGGGAAGCACCACGTCTTCCAGATGTCTCCTGCCCAGAGTTCTGCCAGGGCATCAGGGGACACGCCTCACCCTGCCCTGCACTCAGCCCTGTGGCTGAGCCCTCCCCCATCTTTCTGGTTGCAGGGTAGCTGACCCCCTGCTCATGTCACCCTGGGTACGGCTCTCACCGTGCCCATCCTGGCTGCAGACTTGGTCCTATTAGGCCAAAACATCAGAGAGATAAAGGTTTCTGGGCCACCTCAAGGGAGGGGGCTTTGGAGAGGGAAGCTGTGCTGGGGACCAGAGAGGGCAGCCTGACCTCTCTGGGAAGGAAATATCAATTAATTATCTTTTTACAGGCGAACCAATTAGACTCCCTAATCACCTGTGTAGGACACCAAGGCAGAAGGGCCGAGAAATTGCCAGAATAAACAAGACAGTAAAGACCTGCCCCACCGTGAAACGGCTGCCTTGGGCCTAGGACTTGCCGGGAGGAGCACAGGCTGCATGCGGAAATGTTTTCTTCATCTAAGTGAATTCAAAATATCCAATGTTACTGACCCTGAGGGGGCAGGAACGGCCTCGCTTGGAGGTGACCAGACACAGCGCATCGGTCTTCGGTGTGCACTCCATTAGCCAAGGAGCGGCAGTGCCGGGAGAAGTCAGTGGGGGTGTGCCCCATCAGAAGGACACCTTAGGTAGGGGCCAGGCAGGCAGCCCGGGCTTTGAGAACTGCCGGGGTAGTCAGGCGAGGCTCCTGTGCTGCCAGCAGACCGTCCCTCTTCGTTTAGGGACTCTCTTCCCTTTTGGGTTCTGTTGTGGCTAGGGCTAGCCAGAGGCTCTGCCAATCAGCCGATGGAGGTGCCGTGGCTACCAGCCATCACTACCAGCCCGGGGCAGTAGCACCTGGTCTCGATCACTCCCTGCACAGGCCTCCCCAGCATGCAGACCCCCGGCTTTCAGCCTCCTTAGCTTACCTTCCCTCTGCCAGCAGGAGCGACTCATCATGTGCAGCCCGAGACCCCAGAGCCAGAGCCTTGCTTAGCACTTTCCACGCAGTTTACACGTGCCCAGTGCTCACCCTGCACCCCCTTGACACGTGCACAGGCACAGGCACTTAGGGCTCAGTGCCCTACCGCTCTCTAGGCACCCTGGCCCAGGCACAAGCCACATGGTGTTGAAGGAGAGAACTGAGTCCTGTAAGTTGTCTTCTGATAACACTTTGTGGCCTGTGCACCCCGGCCCGCCCCCAATAAATAAACGTAAAAAATATTTTAAGAGGTGCAGAGGAACTGGAGAGATGGCTGTGAGTAGAGTTCTTGCCAAACAAGCATGAAGTGAAGACCTGACTTGGGATCACCAGCACGCCCATAAAAGCCGGCCACAAGAGCCTCTGGCTCCAACCCCTACTACCAAAAATAAAAATTTCAAAAGCAAAGACCTCCTCCACTGCACACTCCTGGTGCCCTGACATCCTACACAGATCCAAGCGGCCATGGATGGAACCCCCTGAAACCAGGAGACAGAATAAACTCTGCCTCCTTTGAATTCTTTATGTTGGGTGTTCTGCCACAGTGACCCTAGTGACTACCACAGGCATGCTCCC